CAACCGGGAACCTTTAGTTCCGGTTGGAGTTACCAACCAGGACTAAAGGGTGCGGCCACGTTTGCTCGGCTGGAGGGCCTTTGGTCCCGGTTGATAACACCAACCGGGACTAAAGGTCTCTCTTTAGTCCCGGCTCGATGACCTGAGATTGAAGGTTCCACCTTTAGTCCCGAGATCGTTGTCCCGGCGCGGTAACCAGGACTAAAGACCGTTACCGTCCGGGACAACAAGACCATCCTATAGTAGTGAAATTTGTGCGTGTACAAAGATTGAAACACTCAATCCTTTTCAAATTTTGTCTTTATGTGTTGTCCGGTTGTTTCGTACGTCCTAACATTCCATCGTTGGCAGCCCACGGAACAACCGAATGCCCAATATACACTTCCAGAAGAAAACGCCGGTTGTGTCAAAGACTTTTGGATGGACAGGTTTTTCTTAATGGTATATGAAGAAATTCAGTGAACCACAGGGACGGCCCGGTACGCTCGTGATGCTTTTTGAAACGTTCGGGTCAAGTCACATGCAATTCATCCATGGGCTGTTTATTTAAATATTTTGATTATTATGACACGGCAGCAGATTTTTTTTTTTGACAACCACTACCACAAAGATTAACACGGAGCACTTAACTTACTAGGAAAGGTCCTATACGACCCGGTATACGGGTCCGTTGTCAATATGATTGATGAGTTTAAGCTTTAAAAACTTGGGCAAGTAACCTTGAGGGTTACATACAATTAGCATGGCACAGCACCATCGAAATGAGACAATCAGGGAGAAAGTAAATTAAACTCCATTTGCGAAATAAAAGGCGCATAAATGCATATGGGATGGCGCACGATTGGTTCCTGCTCTCGAGGGAGATCGATCATCGACGCACGTACAGACGCAAGCATATATAGAGGTTGGTTGGATCATTCAAGTTAGCATTTTCTGTTTTCAGGACTTGCTGATGCTCCAATGGAGTACGACAGTGGAAACGGACAGTGTCAGCAGTCAGTGTGTCCCTTGTGTGGCGTTTCTTTCACTCTCTGTTGGATTCATGTCCCCAGGCCCCAGCTAGTATCTCTTGTACGACTCTTAATATAGTGCGCAAGAAACAAACAACTGTGACAAAAGTGCTTAATTCTACGTCTCTTAATATGTCTTCTAGATGGTCATTAGTTGAGAATAAGCTAGAGGAATGGCATAGTCTAGTCAGGAGAGTTGCATTTATTAACTTAAATGAGGATAGAGACATTTTCATCTGGAATCTAAATAAAAACCGAAACTATCGAACATTTGTTTGGTATTCAACCACCACGAAATACCAATCATCTTTTTAGTAGTCGGTCAAAATTGGATGATCGTCAACATAATCATCTTTTATTGTCTAGGACAGCAGCTTATTGCTGGGCAATAATTTGGATCACAAGAAATTCGTCATGGTTTTTGGATAAATGTCAATCAAAAATCTTTTTGCCCGTTCTTTTCAGGGACGTATCGGCTCCGTTTTTGGGCTTCATTAAAGTGCTCAGTTGAAGACAAAGAACGTATACACGAGGCCTATATGCTACTAGAGGCTCTGTTTGGAGCCGCTTTTCCCCGCTTCACTGTGGAGAAAAGCATGCGGACACCCCCAAACGGCGTGATTCTAGCGCAACTTTCTTTCCCCGTGATTCCCCGATTGCACTATTTCAACGTTGAAGCTGAATCGGTTCGCAAGGAGCTGTGGAAGGAATCTCCTTCGATTCTTTAACCTCTTCCTACCTCGCCTCGCGGACGTTGCCCCAACCCTACACCTCACCATTGCCCCCCGATGCCCGCCTCACCGTGCTTAGCGGCGAGCGCCCGCCCGCCCCACTCTCGTCCTCATCCTCGATGTCCTCGCACCGGTGGCTGTCCCCTCCCAAGCCACCACCGAGATCCCTTCCTCGCACCAGCAGCCTTCTTCGCCGCCCTCGTTGCCTGCCTCGCCGTTCTTAGCGGCGAGCGCCCACCCGCTCCCACTCGGGTCCTCATAGTTGACGTCCTCGCAGTGGTGGTGGTCCCTCCCTGCACCACCGCGGAGATCCCTTCCTTCCTCCTCATTGTCAACGTCCTTGCACCGATGGCCATCCTCTCCCTGCACCACCGTCGAGATCCCCTTCCTTCTTATCGTTGACATCCTTACAACGGCGGCCATCCCCTCCCCGCGCTGTGGCTGTCCCCACTCGAACAAACACTCGAGGCTTGCGAGAGGAGAAGACGAAACTCAAGCAATGTGTTTCACATGGTGGAAGATGAAGCTGTGGTCGCAGGCCACAGATCCCCAAATAAACTCTGTCATTCTTGCCAATGGATTACTAGGGACAACTTTAATTCAAAGCATGGCTGAAAAAATATGTCCCAAACAGGGCTAGAATCAAAAGCCAGTTCTCCGCATCTAATGGATGATCTTTCAGCTATCGTCTTGAACTTTAACTTTGAACCTGTAATGAGTCTATTTCTAGTGTGTATATTTGTTTTAAATGTGTACTCTTGCTTCTTCCATGACAGAAGTTGAAGCGGATTTTTCTGTTATCTAAAAAAATTATCTTACCGCCTGACGTTTTTTTATATTAGTTATTGCAAGGTCTACGTGCCGCGCGTAAAGAGCTTCAGAAACGTTCAGTGTAGGTTTCAGCTATATACGGCATTATATGGCGTGCGAGATGACATGCAGCTCCATTCTGAATTTGCACAGCTCACTATTCCGTTCATTGCCGATCGCGATTCTGCAACAGGTTATTAGAACTCAGAAGCAACGAACCCCTGAAGTCCGCGCTGTCCTAAACAAATCAGCTGGTAACGAAAAAGCACTCGTAAGCGATTGATTGTCTTGCCAGTTGCCACTTGCCAGGTTATTTATCTCGACATCGATGACACCACGCACTACGACGTGAAAACAACGCCTAATTTACCACGCGACCCCGTTCCGTCCGATTAGTTATGTTATGTGGATTTGACTTTGTGACATGGACATCTTGAGTTGTCCGTTTTGAATTTGCCAGGTTTTAAACGATAGATGGTAAGATATGTCATATGTCCAGGTAGAACCGGCACCTGGTGTTGTTTAATTTAAATCAAATTTGATTTGACTCTTTGTTTTTGGACCCGGGCCGACCCGGCCAAGTGCTAATTCAAATCAAATTCGTGGAGACATTGTGTTGTTTGAAGATAAGTATCATCCAGGCTTGCACGCATTGTTTGGATACGTATCAAATCAAAATCGAAGTCAAATTGGAATCGAAACTTTATTCTTCCTGCTACTATCATCCAGGGCTTGCACGCATTATTTGGCTTAACTTACGTGTTGAGCATTTCGAAGAAGGCCAAGAAATTCAAAATTCAAAGGAAAGCAAGTTTGTATTCAAAATGTTATAAGCCCAGGTGCATCATCAAATTTATTTGAAAGTTGACCATAAATGATGGGGGCCATGGATGATACAAGAAACCGCTCATAACTTGCGACTATTAGCAAATCACGTGTTGAATTAATGCAGGCACTACACATGAAAACTATATTTTCAATGAATAGTTTCTACAAATTTATCCAATTATCTATATATCTTCTCTCTCCTATCTATCATTACTCTTCCTATCTTTATTCCAATGTAGACATGGTTTTTTTATAAGAAACCATTTTCTTCTCTCCTCTTTAGTTGCAATGTCAAATCATTGTTTTGCTTACCCTAATTAATGACATGGAAACTACCCATCGGGACTGCCCTAAGCTCATGACAATTGTAGGTTGATTGAGGGCGCGTTTGATAGCACTTCCGAAACCACTCCGGGAACAACTTCACCCCGTTGAAGTGGGGTATCAACTCTGGGCTTGGAGTTCCATGTTTGTGTGGACTGGAGCCAGATGTGGGAGGGGAACTGAAAACAAGATTTCCCCAGCTCCCTCTTGCCCTCGTGGTTCCATGAGTCTGAGGAGGGCGGCTTGAGGATGATGGGTAGTGACGGGGAGGAGGGGTGTGGCCAACCAACGCGGGAAGAGGAGCATAGCTCGCGGGCACCAGCGTTGAGGAGGAGGGGAGGTGCACGACGTCCTCCATGTAGAGGAGCGACGACTGAGGGACACAGGAAGGAGGGGTGGCGCGGGGACAAGGGTGGTGGAGGAAGCCCAATGCGAGGATGGGGCGGTGGCATGAGCGAGCATGAGAGATATGGGCAAAGGTGTGCGAGAGAGACGGAGAGAGGAATAAAGGGTGGAGAAAAAAGAAAAAAAATAGCCCAATGATAGGTGGGTCCATAAGTCAAGTGGGTCTATAAGTAAAAAAATGATGAGCTATTTTGTCAAACATATCTCTAATAAGTGAAGCTAGAATCAAATGAAGCTAACCCACCAAAGAAGCGGGAGTCAGAACCATTTTAGGGTTTGTTTCTTTCCTCCCACTCTAAATTTTCCGTAGAAGATAATTATACGAGAGAAGCGATTCTCTAAATGAAAATATTTCTCTATGATTACCTACGCTAAACTCTATGATGACATAAAATATTTCTCTATAGTTTCTACAATAAACTCTCTACAATGACTAAAATGATTCTCTACGATTCTCTATAATAAACTCTGTGCAATGACTCGGTGTATAGAGTAATCAAGAGAAGTTTTTTCTTCAACTTTCAGTCCCTAGTTTATTTAAGAGAAACAGTTCACAGAATCAGCGTAGAATTAAATTATTATTTTTTTCATAAAATAACTTTTTGATATATAGTAGCTATTGGGTTCAGCCTGTACCTCGCAAAACAGGCCCTGGACCGAGAGCTGCCCTGAATTGATGCGTTTCCCAAAATGGATGTTGCTGTAAAGCTTTGAAATCAGCTCCTTTTTTCCCATTAAAAAAAGCGCTCCTTTTCCGCGGTTGGCGGAGTAGTTGGGTCCCCATACTTCCACGACCGCCCTGCTCGCTTATAAATGCCGCCATTCAATCGCTGGCCAATTTCAGAAAGCAAAGCAAACAAAAACTCGGCGGAGCCATTGCGACGGCGGCGGAATGGCGACGAGCACTCGAGCCCTCTTTCTCTCCTGCTTCCACGGCGGCGGCGCCGAGGTGAGCCGCCACCTCGCGCTGCGGCCGCGGTACCCGTCCAATCCGCGGCGCCCTAGGTCGGCCGCGGTTGCCGGCGAAGGAAGTGAAGGCGGAGGAAGCGGCGGTGACCTGGAGGCCGCGAAGGGGACGGCGGAGAGGGACGAGGAGGAGAAAGTGTCGGTGTTTGCGGTGACGGGAATGACGTGTGCCGCCTGCGCGGGGTCGGTGGAGAAGGCCGTGAAGCGGCTCCCGGGCATCCATGACGCCGCCGTCGACGTGCTTGGAGGCCGTGCGCAGGTCGTCTTCTACCCAGCCTTCGTCTCGGTGAGTATCGCTCCTCTGCTTCATTTTGCGGTGTTGCGCGGGTTACTTTTTTTTTCTTATCGATATGAGATGTTTCCAGATGATCAGATCAATCGGTTCCGTTAATTCCTTGAGATATGTTCTTTTTATTCATATATATATATGTACTTATGTCCCAATTTTGAGTGAAAAATCCTCTCAAAAAAAATTGAACGAAAATTTTGGTCATGCAATTTTGATGTAGCACAGAGCTCTAAATTAGGACGCCTCATGCAGATCGCTCTGTGATTTTGATGTAACGCATGGCTCTATCTTTTTTTTTTCTGAAAGCAAAATGTCACGAGCTCTGTCTATCCATTAGCCCAGCAAAATGCAAATGGACAGAAACGAGTGAGAACAAAAACACTCTCAGCTTAAGATCACAACTTAAGGAAGCGTCCCAAACACAGATTAGTGGTGGCGGAGCATATATAGCACGCCTTCTTTGTTCTATGTTGCACGGCTCTATCTAGTCTTGTAATCTGGAAATACATACAACAAGTCTGGCATGGAAATACATATCTAGAAATGTTTAAAATTTCTAATATTAATTAAAAAAGACGACCTCTAGGAAAAACCTCTCCTGAGACATATTTCATTAAGAAGAAATCTCAACCATAAGGTGAAGAAAAGACCACGAACTATGGCTATAAAATAGAATGTTTTTTTTTTTTCTCTCAACAAAGTGGAGTTGAACTCTGGACATATAGGTCACACGACATCTCTCATACCGCGCTGTGCTATGCGCACGTTCTCGATCTCTAAGAGTAGGTATAATAATATACATCTTATAACCAAACCACATCAGCAAATATCTAGGTGGATGATAGAGGAAGTAGAAGGGAACTTGACGCAACATGCAGCGCGAAGCACTAGCAAGGAAAGCACGGTTCCCAAGCCTGCCATCACATACAACAGTACACTGTTCTTGCCTTTTGAGCCGATAAAAAAGAGAAGATAGGAAAGTATGTGGGTCCCATGTAATAAAAAAATATATTTAGAATATGAGAATAGACTGATTGTTGTATGATTTGTCTATTGTACGACTAGGCTTGGCTTATAGCCAAGCTCGTTAAACTTGCTCTTAATAGTAATGAACTGTATGCAGAAATATGGAGAGTCAGGCTTAAACTTTTATGCACTTAGGTGCGAATTTTTGAGCAAAATGTTTAGTGGTACAGTTTAGATATGACACCGATCGAGGCACATAGCCATAGATTGGACGCTTCATCCAGTTAGTTTGCTATATTATTTTTGATGTAACACAGAGCTGTGGATTGGCATGTGTCATCTAGTTACTCCACAATTTTGATTGAATGTAGAGCTGTAGACTGGCACACTTCATACAGTTAGTTCCCTATTTAATTTTAACATAATGAGTGCGTGTTTTAAGGAAAGAATTCCAGCAAATACTGCTATGTTTAGCATTACTACATGAAGATTTTGTGTAAGGGAAGCTCTACCAAACATGCTTTTGTCAAGTTATTTCTGATTTTCATCCTTTTTACCCCAGTTATTCACACATAACTGAATACTGATACACATCGTATTCTTTCTTTTGTGAAGTATATCTGTTTTCTGCCCTGCTTTTTGTTACATATCACAGTCTTTTCCTTTTGTTAAGCTATATCTCTTAATCTGTTCAGTTGGTGTTCCTTTTGACCGTGTTCCCAAATGATTATTAGGTTGCTCAGGATGAAATAAATTGTCCTATTCAAGAACAATGTCACTCACGTCCCCATAATTACTTTCTTTCATCAGTGGCGCATTTGGGGATGCAAAGTTGCAATCCTGTCCTCCATTATTGAAAAAGAACTGTTTCTAAAAGCAAGATATAGCCCTTTTCACAAGTATATGTTGATATTTATAAAGCAAAATGGATGAAGTCGTTTTCATGTGGTGTACATGGACTGTTCTTGTTGAATGATGAGGGATGCATGGTTCATCTGGTAGGACTAGGAAAAAGTTCCATCTCATATATATTTCAACCTAGTGGTTACTTGCTTGCATGTCATCTTGTTGGATGCCTATATGATTTTATTGGTGCCAATCCATCTTACCTAAACCTCAATCAGTAAATACAATGTACTAAATTTCATTTATTGAAAACTGTAGCAAATGCGATACTGAGATACTACTACTATTTAAGAAATCTTTTTATTTGTCTATTTGGCTGAGCTGCTGCCATGAACAGGTGGCAGGTCCACCCATGAATATTATTTCTTAGTTTGCATATTTCCTTTTACATATACTCAAGAAAATGTTTATATGTGCACTTTATCATTTACATTATTCAACACCTAAGACTACTACGGTTTCCAGATTAGGAAAAGAAAACAGTGGTTTCAGTTGTTCAGAACTAATCATGGCAATTATATTGGGGTTGCTTGGATTTTTGTTAACAATGTAGAATCTAGCAACCTACCTTGTCTATGTAAGTGAGGATGAAACTAACATAAAGAAAATCGATTCTGTTAAGATCAATATGACTTCTGTCAATAACTACTACTACCTATTTTTTTTCACAAAACCAGCTTAAATCATATTAACTAAATCCCTTCTTACTTAGGATGATACAAATGAAGTGATCAACATAAGTTGGGTCAACTCGAATACTAGAAACCTTCTCCAACTTTTGAAACCGAGTACAATACCCTCCCTGACCATTTCAAAGTGGTTTCTGATCATATGATGTGGTTTTGATGACATGGCAGTGGGAGCCCACATGTCAAGTGGTCTCGCTCTTTCTCTCATATAAAAAATTATAACTTTTTCGTATAAAATCGACGAAGACAAACTTTATATCAAATTTGTAGAGCTCGACGTGATCTACAACTTTAGAGTTGATAGCTTTTCTATTTAAGATCATTTAGATGCCCAACTATTCATTTATATTATCGGATTTTGGAATTCAAAATTTTGAACCAATCTCGAATGTTTACTGGTATACACCAAAGATTAGAAATCAACACAATCTACATCTTTGTAGTTGACAACTTTTTTATTTGACATCGTTTAAATATGCAAACATTCATTTTAAGTTATTAGATTTTGAAAAAAAATATGGCAGTTAAAAAACGATGACATGTGGGGCCGACATGCCCCACATCTAGTCCTGCTTTGAAATGGTCAAAGGGGGTATTTTGCTCGATTTTGAAAGTAGGAGGATGTATGATTCCTGGTATTTGAGTTGACGGGAGTTTTTTAAACTCAACAACAAGTTCACGGTGTTGACTGAAGCATCTATTATATCTGTTTCTTTGGTGCCATCATAAAACTTCTTTTTTTTGAAAACATATCCCTGATATAATAGATCTGAATTGCATATGCTGGCCAATAGTTAATACAATAATTTACAGTAAAAATTAAAGGCTATTTTTTTTTTTGCGAATCAAGGGCTGAAATTCATTTGAAACTATAGATACTTCAGTAGTTTTACACCATACTTTAACAATGTCCGTAGTTGTGTGCCCGTGCTGTTGGATCTTGGCTTCATAATAATATTTAAAACTTGTGTTCATATATGGCTCTTAACAGGAGGAGAAAATTAGGGAAGCAATCGAGGATGTTGGTTTTGAAGCTAAGCTGATTAACGAGGAGGTCAGGGAAAAGAACATTCTAGTATGCAGGTTACATATAAAAGGAATGACCTGCACGTCCTGCACTGGCACAGTAGAATCTGCCTTGCAAGCTTTTCCTGGTGTTCAAAGAGCTTCAGTTGCGTTGGCTACTGAAGAGGCAGAGATCCATTATGATCGCAGGATTGTTGCTGCCAGCCAACTTATCCATGCAGTGGAAGAAATTGGCTTTGAAGCAATACTAATCACTACAGGAGAAGATCGGAGCAGGATAGACCTCAAACTAGATGGCGTTCTGAGCGAGAGGCTAACAATGATACTGAAAAGCTCTATCCAAGCTCTTCCTGGTGTGGAAGACGTAAAGGTTGACACTGAACTCCACAAGATCACCGTCTCGTACAAGCCTGACCAGACAGGTCCCAGGGACCTCATTGAAGTCATCGAGTCAGCCACTTCTGGTGACGTTACTGCATCAATATATGCCGAAGCAGAAGGAAGGGAGCATCACAGGTATGTGGAAATCAAGCGATACAGGCAGTCTTTCTTGTGGAGCTTAATATTCACTATTCCGGTGTTTCTCACTTCCATGGTGTTCATGTACATCCCTGTGCTGAAGGATGGGCTCGAAAAAAAGGTTGTCAACATGATGAGCATTGGTGAACTATTGCGGTGGATTTTATCGACACCAGTGCAATTTGTAATTGGCCGCAAGTTTTATACTGGTGCTTACAAGGCAATATGCCATGGCTCATCAAACATGGATGTCCTTATTGCCCTAGGGACAAACACGGCTTACTTCTACTCAGTTTACTCAGTTCTTCGAGCAGCTACCTCTGAGAATTACATGTCAACTGATTTTTTTGAGACTAGTTCTATGCTCATATCTTTTATCCTTCTTGAAAGTACCTTGAGATCTTGGCAAAAGGAAAACCTCCGAGGCTATTGCCAAGCTGATGGATCTTGCACCGGAAACTGCAACACTGTTAATGTATGACAATGAAGGAAATGTAGTAGGAGAGAAGGAGATTGACAGCAGGCTAATTCAGAAAAATGATGTGATCAAAGTAGTCCCGGGTGGAAAAGTTGCTTCTGATGGATTTGTTATTTGGGGCCAGAGCCATGTGAATGAAAGCATGATTACTGGAGAATCACGGCCAGTAGCGAAGAGGAAGGGTGACACTGTAATTGGAGGGACAGTGAATGAGAATGGTGTGCTCCATGTCCGGGCAACATTTGTCGGATTAGAGACTGCACTGGCACAGATCGTAAGGCTAGTTGAGTCAGCACAAATGGCAAAAGCTCCTGTCCAGAAGTTCGCTGATCAGATATCTAGAGTCTTTGTCCCACTGGTAAGCTCAGTTACATTTTTGTAATAAATACAATGGGGTAAACTTGTCAATGCTGATCAATCTTCTCCATGTTTGCAGGTTATTGTTCTATCTTTGCTTACTTGGCTTGTGTGGTTCTTAGCTGGGAGATTCCATGGTTACCCTTACTCATGGATACCATCTTCCATGGATAGCTTTCAGCTTGCTCTTCAGTTTGGAATATCAGTTATGGTGATTGCCTGTCCTTGTGCCTTAGGGCTGGCAACTCCAACTGCTGTTATGGTTGCAACTGGAGTTGGTGCCTCACAAGGCGTTCTGATCAAAGGCGGGCAAGCTCTTGAGAGTGCACAAAAGGTATGGAAACTTTTCATGATAATGTGTATGCACTTGCTTAAAGCAGCGCTTTCGAATTGGCGATAAACTGACAACACTACTTACACTGACATTTTACAGGTAGACTGCATCGTCTTTGATAAGACAGGAACGCTGACTGTTGGGAAACCAGTCGTTGTCAACACCAGGCTTTTCAAAAACATGGTCTTGCGTGAGTTCTTTGACTATGTTGCAGCAGCAGAGGTATGCTTTTCGACTCTATTTTTGTTGTTGTCATTTTGGGTGAAACCAGATTGTGTTTCGAAGGGACATTTTTCTTTCAAATTTCATGATTCTTGTTGGTCTCATTCAGGACAACAGTGAGCACCCTCTGGCAAAGGCAATAGTGGAGCATGCAAAGAAGTTCCACTCAGAAGAAAACCACATCTGGCCGGAAGCAAGAGATTTCATTTCGGTTCCCGGACATGGTGTCAAGGCCAAAGTTTTTGATAAGAGTGTCATTGTCGGGAACAAGAGTTTCATGTTGTCATTAAGCATTGATATCCCCATGGAAGCTTCAGAGATTCTCATAGAAGAAGAGGAAAATGCACATACAGGCATTATTGTGGCTATGGATCAAGAAGTTGTGGGCATAATTTCTGTATCTGACCCGATAAAACCAAATGCCCATGAAGTTATATCTTACCTCAAGTCCATGAATGTGGAGAGCATAATGGTGACTGGGGACAACTGGGGGACTGCTAACGCCATCGGCAAAGAGGTTGGCATTGAAAAGATTATCGCCGAAGCAAAACCTGACCAGAAAGCTGAAAAGGTGAAGGAACTTCAGGTAAGCTATATACACTGTGTTTTCTTCCGTTACTTCTGTTGCTTTCCTGTTACAGCGATCTAGTGTTTATTTACCATTGTCGGATCTTAATTCTTGCAGCTGTCAGGAAAAACTGTGGCGATGGTTGGTGACGGAATAAATGACTCCCCAGCACTCGTTTCAGCTAATGTAGGTCTGGCCATTGGCGCTGGAACAGATGTCGCCATTGAAGCAGCCGACATCGTCCTCATGAAGAGCAACTTGGAGGATGTGATCACTGCTATCGATCTCTAGGAAAACCTTTTTCCGCATACGGATGAATTACGTGTGGGCGCTCGGCTACAACATCATCGGCATACCAATTGCCGCAGGAGTGCTCTTCCCATCGACCCGATTTCGCTTGCCACCATGGGTTGCCGGTGCCGCGATGGCGGCTTCATCCGTCAGTGTCGTCTGTTGGTCCCTTCTGTTGAGGTACTACAAGAGTCCAAAGAAGTTTGACAACTGATGACACCGACCAGAGCAGCATTAGCGTAATAATGTAAGAAAGTACTGTAAGATATTAATGGGTATTGTACTTGGTGAACGACAGGTGATCCTGGAGTTGACAAGAAATTGCGTGAAATAAACTGTACATATGCATTACTTTGTATATATCTATATTCACATGGCAAAACTCTGGATTTTGTGGACATTATTGGCATAGTTGCTTTGTAGTAATATATATATTTCTCTCTATTCACTTTTGCACTAAGCCACTAACTTGTTTGAACTGTCAAAAGATGTATGAATCTGTTGGGCGATCCCATGATCTACGTATCCTTTCTAAATAAAGACATGATCTATATACACATGAACGTGATGAATTGATGATAAAGACATGATCTCCAACTTGATATACGGACATATTCTGAAGAATGTCTAGTTGTCTACGCCTCTACGGCGCCTGCTGAATGTGAACAACCTGGATCCTGGAAAGAGGGTCATGGGCACATGGACACATGGACAGATGGACGTGGCAGTTAATGGGATCAGACTCGACGATTGAAAGCGGGAGAGCTGGTGCTTGGTGATGCACTGATGCTGAAACTAGAGGGGGATGTTTGTTCACGCTTGTTTTCTTTCCTCTGGTGGGCGATATTAGTTGCCTACCCAACCTGCTCACTTCTTTTAGTGACATGATAGATACAGTTACAACTGAAAGACATCCTGACGAGGCGAGGCGATGATCTTATGTGGCGCCCGACGCCAGCAGAGAAGAATTCGGTTCTGTTAGCTTTATGCCTCGTGGTTAAGTGCTCTAGTTTTGTCACGGAACAACTATTTGGGGGTGGAATCTGATTCGTGGTGCGAGAGCGAGTGTTTCCAGGTGACTCTTATAGCTCAAATAGAGCGTGCTTCCTCTATCCAAAAATATAGTATACAGAAGTATTAAAAATAAACCAAATACAAAAGATTTATAAAACATAAGAACAATTTTGTCGCACAAATTTAGTAGGTAATGTAGTGTTATTAGCCATTTAATAATAAATGTTTTATTGATCATGCAGATGCTATAACGACTATACATGCATGAATTAAATTGATTAGAAAATAAAGTAAAGGTACTGTTGGAGGTTTTTTGGCTCTGGCAATGAAGATCAGCATATTACACACAAGACACGAGTTTATACTTGTTCAGGTACTCGGTACCCTACATGATCTAGTTTGGAACAAATCTCTTATCTCGTGTGCCAGAGATTACAAGGTGCGTTGATTGCTAATTGCATATGCAATGTAGCCTACGATATGTTGAGGTACTGATCAGAAGCTCCCTACCTCGCCTTATATAGCCCGAGGGTAGGGTAACATAGATCCTGGTTGGTTTACATATATGTTTTCTAGTTGATTACAAGAAAATCTAAGCAGAATAACTACCATATCTTGTAGAAGTCGTGGTCCAAGCTTTATACGATAGGTTACTTGCTCACTATGTCTGGATGATGGCATACTGTTTCGGGTGGACCTCTTCTTCGCCAGCTTTGGCCCACCACTGGTATATTGGGCTGGTATTCGAGCAGTGAGGTACCCTAGGTTCATATCACTAACAGGTACATACGTCTTTTATGTTTCTCTTAATATGTCTTAAAATCTCTAAAATACACTATGAAAATCATTGAGTGTTGGATAGTGGATGTAGTCGACACATGACCGGCAATGCTAGCATGTTCACTAGCACGAATGATGGATGTTAGAGATCACGACAAGGTCACATCTGAGGATAACTTCAAAGGTAAATTATGTGGTCTTGGACTCTTGGTAACATAGCTATATCAAATTATTTTCTCTTGGTTGGTTTTGGCAACACTGAATTGTGCATATTGGAACGAGTCAACTCAAGAAGAAAGTGAAGAAGGGGATGCTTGTTAGAGTAAAATAACTAGTGTTTGCGAACTCAGCCTAGCTCAATTGCTTAGGTTCCTTGTGGTGAAACCTGTCCACCCAGGTTCAAGTCCTCGATTGGTACGGGTGCTCGCATTTTCCTAGATTTAATCCAGGATTTAAAGGCATTGTGCTTTCAGTGGTAGGCGACATTCTTGTCGACAGCGAGACGTCTATGGTGACTTCGTTAATCTCGAGATGTGCCGGCATAATCTTTGGAGATGCTCATAGGGATAGGGTTTGCATACGTGTGTTCATAGAGGGTGAGTGTGTGTGTGCTAGTGGTGTTGAGCCCTTTCTACCTCTTCTTGAGGATTAGCTGTGTTTTACTTGGTTGCATCGGTTCGTTGCCCATGTCTTTGGGGACCAAATTTTGTTCATTTCAAATGATCTTGTTTTGGCTTTTCATTGGCTTTTGGTCATTTGGGTGAGTTCTCTATCTCTTCTTCTTCTTCTTCTTCTTTCGCTTGGCTGTTGCGTGTTGGTGTTGACATTGCATTCATCAAGGAGGAGATTGTGAACACATGGTCGATATGTATTCATATGGTTTGGTTTGTGATGAGTGATTGTCAATGTGAGTAGCACTTTGGGTTGAGTTGTTGAACTAACCAAGGCGTGAGTTTGGGTTGTGCAACATGTTTCTTGGCTTCAGGTGTGCAGGTGTGGAGCTCGGAGACGACGAAGGTGAAGGTCAAGCGGGTTCGTGCTGATGGACTAAGAGTGGTGAAGGATGGATGCCGAGGCTTAGACTGAGGGACTGGAGAAGCCAGGTAACTGACTGTGGGTGGCTGACACCTGGGGTCATCGACAAGTGCAAGAGTACATGAGGAGTGGACCGTGTTTGTAACACCCTCGGTGTTACCACTTAAACAACTTGCTAAACTATGTCATGAGCATCATGTTTTTGTGATAATGCATATGATAAAGTGTGTAGATCAATTTTCGTAACTCAAAATGATCAATAAAAATGCTAAACGAAAGTTGATTCGATAGTTCATGCATATCAAGTAGGGTTTGAAACTAATTTTTATTGAACAAAAATACTATAGAATATGTATGTGACACTTAAATAAAGTTTGAAGTGCAAACTTTGTAGATGACAATGAAATACTTGCTGTAGAAAAATAATGTTACTAGCTGGTATTTCTAATAGTCTAGAAACGGAACATGAAAACAAATCCAGCTCAAAAACTTAGAAATTTTCAAGTCTGCCAACAGCTAGACATTGCTATATTTAGCAATTTATTATGAGAGATTGGGTTAAAGGGTGGTGTAGTGTTATAGCTCGATTTGGTAGTCTCATATGCCATCTTGAGCATGGTGAAGCTGGTTTGGCTCCTAGAGCAACCGTTTGGTCGTGTTGAGCGCTTTAAAATTCATGCGCGTCACATGTCTCGGGCTGGTTGGCCGCGTGGCCACGATCACCACGCTCGGGCGTTCGGCGTCACCGCGTTGGCCGCGCGCGACCGACTGTGGCTACCTCTGGCCTGGCTATGGTTCGGTTGCCGCTGGCCCTACCGTGCCATGATGAGGCCACTGTCGGCGCTATCACCTCGACGTCGCATCCGCCACTGCTGCCTCGTCGCGCTACCGACCCACCTCACGCTGCGACGCTGCCGCTGCCGTCGTGTCCACGCCTATCCGCTGCATCTCTACGCTGTTGTCGGCCCAGTGCGTGTCGCCTCTGCCGCGCGCACGTGGTCGGTCTCGCCGTCGCCTTGTCATTAATGACACTACGGCAGCGCGGGCCATGCTGGTCGGGCGTGCACGTGCCTGTCGGTTAGCGCTGGTGCGTGGGTCTCCCAATCTCACCGCTCGTGTCCCACCAAGGCGAGGACGAGCCGAGCCCACCTGTCGCGCCCCATCTCTCTTTCTCTCTTTCTTCCTCTACTTTCCACCGCCGTCGGGTCACGATCACGGCGAGTCAGAGAGCGAGCACCTCTCATCAATTTCTCATGCCCGTGTCTCCACCTTTACATCCTCTTGCCGACCGCCCCCACCCCGCCTTGATTACGGCCAGGCCAAGCTCCAATTTTGGAGCTTTGCTCCCGCCGCCGCGCCATTAAGGCCCAGCCCACCTCATCGTGGCCAGCTCCAACCTCGCCATCTCGCGTCGAATTGACCGCACCACTAGCCTCGCCTAGAACCCCTCTTTATCGTGCACATGCTAGTCATAGCCCTAGTGCCGCCTCCACGCCACCGTCATGGCCGTGTCACTTTGTAGTTCACCATCGAGCTCGCCGCCACCATCACGTGACCAGACTTGCTCGGGGTGTCTCGCCAAGACACCGCCACGGTAGGATCGTGGAGCGCCACTAATGCTTACCCATCACCTCTATTATCTGTTGTACAATCGTGGCTCACCGTATATGGTTCTTTGCCACTGCAGTCGCCATTGCCGGGAGAGCCCACTGTTTCACCTCGCTCAGGCAACCACCGCCTATAGTTAACGCGTAGGGCCCATAGATGAGCATCGGTCCCCTAGCTAGGTCTCGCAAGGGTCTCGGTGGTGGCGTGCATTTAGTGCCACCACCCACCGCACTAGCGAGCGGGGCATCTTGGGGACCTCTCCAAAGTCTGAAGGTGAAAAGATACGAGGGCTCCGTTGCAAAGCCAATGTCTATAGAAATAGTAATGCGTTATAGTGTTTATGCTATTGTCCGATAACACGAGGGCATTTTTTGCAAGAGTGCCACATACAATACGGCTCCCCACTTGGCGGGCCGCCTCCGCTTGGGGTCATGTTGGGCGAAATCGGTTTATCTTTTTTCGTGGAAAATAGAAATAGCTTTTTATTTTAATTTTGAGTTGAACTTTGGTAATTAATATAAAATAATGTAGATATCCAAAAAATATGAAATAAATTTTGTTAG